ATTTAATGCTTAAAGTCTGAAATAATTCTGGATCAGTCAGGGTTGGAAGGAATTGTTAAATCACACCCTACCAAATGCAGCATTTGAACAAGTTACTCACACCAGTGGTTTTCTACCTTCAAACCTAACTGGTCATTTGAAGAACTCCATGTGGGTATCTCTGTATGTATTGGGAAAGGACATGGGCTGGGGCATGCAGAAATTATGTGTGTACTAGCCAAGCCTGTGTCTTCTCCCTTTTGATTCCAAAGATCTGAGGATCTTAGAATGTATCCAGATGCTTCAATTTGCAAAGATCAATAATTACCGAATAAACGTTTTTCCTTTCTGGAAATGTTCAGTCCATTACCAATGCTAAGATGCTAAGAATCCTAAGATTACTTCCAACACAGCCTATTAATGAAGGCAGCAAAGAATTATTTGACAGATAGATATATAAGTGTGTTTTCTCACTAGCAGTTTCTGTCCTTCTGGAAACCAGACACAGTAATTTTAAAGTATCTAATGGGTAGCGTTTGGGTGTTGGGTTAGTTTTTGTTCTTGCTGTAGTCACTCCATTGTATGGTGGATCAAATCTTGGACAGACAAGTTTGGATTGAATATAGTATCTTTGTTTCTAAGCTTTGGTTTGTTGTATGAAGCTAAAATCTAATATATGGGGAATGGGGGGTGGAGGGAGAATTGATAAGAGTTGCATGTTGTCTAGAGAAAATAGGTAAAGCTTATGGGGCGTTTCAGTGTGAAGTTGAAAATGGGGCTTGAGATTTGAAAATTGTGCTTGTATGAGGATTGAGATGGTTATGGCCATGGATTCACATTGTCACAAGCAAGGAGTTTAAGTCGCGCTGCGTTGCCTTCCAGCTAGGGCTGGGGAAGACACACCTCCCACTTAGGAAGACAGTAATGAGGGATGGAGAGTGGATGACACGTTTGTAGGAGTTACGGGTTAGATTCTGCTGTGTGTAGATGTAACTTGCTTATTCTTGGTGGCTTGGAGTCAACTCACTTTCTGTGGACAGCACCCTTATAAATGAAAATAGGGTGTGGGGGAGGGTCATAGAAAGATGTGTAAGACTGTCTCAAAATTGGCCTTAGGATTTGAGGCCGAACAGCTTGCAATGATCTGTCTACCCGAAAGAGCATCCTGTTTTGTGACGCCGCGTTATTGGTGGCGCAGCCAATACTGACATAACTGTTCAGCTTTGCTTCAAGATTGAGGGGCGTAGGGCTACCAGACGTGGACTGCAGAACTTCTGTACAATACTACATGGCAGGAGAAAGATATGGAGGATTCTTTCCCTCTATTTTTGCAGCAGAGATCTACGAAGCCTAGTTAAACCCTAACATGGAAATAAAGAAGCTCCTACTTGTGACTCTTAAAAAATGTGTTAGATCTTGCTACAGACAGGACTTTTAGACGGGGGAGCAGATAAAGAGCAATGAGGCTGTGTTCTTTATGCTGTAGTCCAGTGTTTCTCAACCTCGGCAGCTTGAAGACGTGTGGACTTCAACTCCCAGAATTCCCCAGCTAGCAAGTTGGCTGGGG